ATTAAAGTACAAAATAAAAAATAGATAATAGAAAGCAAAGATAGAGATTTTTTGCAAAGGGGAAGAGAACCAAGAGATGTAGAGGGGCAGGAGGGAGGGAAGGAGATGTAGAAAAATCTAGAATGTATTATGTATGTCTCCCAAATCTTCACAAGAAATTCAATCATTACTGAAAACATGAAGTAATAAAAGTAAAAATTTAAATGATAATAATACTATTCTCCTCTCTAAGAAATTTGCCAAACCTCACCCTGCTTAGTTGTAGCTTCATCTGTTGGGTGTTACTGGGCAGTTTCCCAAGATTCTTTCTCTCTGTTGGTATATGCCCTGAAACACAGAGCACAGAGGAGCATCAATCTTACAACAGAGAAGTGGATTTGAATCCCACCTCTGGCATCCATTATGTATGCAATCCTAAGAGCGTTGCTGAAACTCTTCAAAGTCTTCTTTAGGGTGCAAGGATTTTAAGAATCAAAGAGCAAAGTAATGCTGCACGAGTTAAACGTAACTATAACATGACACTGCTATGACCTCAGGCCACTAGACTAACTTCTTTGACTCCATTTTCATCTGTCAAGTGTTAGATAAGCCTATAGCGACAGTTTGACAACCACGCATCTGCAAATTTACTGCAAGGTCTATGATAGTGAAAAGAGATGAATAAATGTGGCCTGTTACTTTTCACCCTTGAAGTCCTCTCATACACCAGCTTTCTCACTGTTCCTCTGCTCTCTCACCATTTATAGACAGGCAACTGCTGCCTCTAACTTTCCTGCCCCAGAAATTTACATGGTGCCTTCCCTCACTGACTTCACATCTTTGATGAAACATCCCTGCAAAATGAGAATATCCTGCTGAAAAAATGCTTACAACATCCTTGCAAGCCTAAAACTCTTAAAAAAAAAAAACTTGATTGTTTTTTGCAATTGCAAGATTGTTTTCATCTTGTAACACTTATGTCATTGATCTGATGATTGTAATTATATATGTGTGTGTATATATTACACTGCTTTCTCCCACTGGATGTCAGCTCTATGACTATAAGAATTCTGTTTATTTTATTTAACACAAACGCCTGGGTAAATGCTCGGTACCCAATATAATCAATTATGCATAACTAAATAAAACAAGAGACAACTCAGATTGACACACTCCATGTCCAACTGTAAAAAAATGTGTCTCTTCTTTCTTTCTTTCTTTCTTTCTTTCTTTCTTTCTTTCTTTCTTTCTTTCTTTCTTTCTCTTTTACTATTTAAATCCAAGAACCTATGAATGAATTTCTGTGGGGATATCTAGGTTCTTTCTGTTTCCATAAACTAATCTTTGAAATATTTATTTCTTCAGCTTTCATTACTAAATCCTGTTTGGTTAAATATCATAGGATTTGGCATGCTCACTTGTCATCAACCTGCTTTTAACATTGTGTTTGCTTTTGGTTTTTAAGAAGCAGAAAATTTTTAAGATGAAATGCTTTCTATTAATCTCATTTTGAAAAATTGATAAAAGATATATTTTATTGCTGCACATTTATTTTATAAGTTCAAAGGTATTATGAAAATAATCAAATCATTTTGATGAGTGAAATAATTTGAAATGAGGAATTAAGCATAAGAAGTGTTCTTCTAGGAGTCTCAGATAATTTATTTCCACAATTTATTTTGGTTTCACAACATTCAGCTGACATTGAATCACTTAAATAAGTAGTTCCAAATGCTTAGATTTATTTCAAACTCATTCGCTATCTCAGAATACTTATGAGTTCCTGCAAAGCCCTCACAGAAGAATAATAGAAAATGAGTTTCTGAATTGAAAACTACAAATCACTTTACAAATGACTGCATTGTTGTATTCCTAATGACAACATAGGAAGTCTGCATATGCTTAAATTTTTGTTTAAATTAAGAAAGTCTCAGTATAAGAAAAAGACCAGTAAACTAAAAGGCTGTATAGCAGGAAGAAAAGAGTTATTGACTAGAGATGGCAAACTAGGAAAGCTGGAGGCAGAATACAGGAGCAGGAATGGCAAAGGAGATGTTCTGAATACCTCGTTTTATAGCAGAGTGCTTTTCTTTTCTCAGGTTTGGTTTTTATTCCCTGCATACTGGGGGCTGAACTCAGAGTCTTACCTATACTAGACAAGACTTTAACACTGAGGTACATGTCCAACCCCATGGAAGGCTTCTGTAATAGATCAAATTTAGTTTCAAGCTCTCTGCACTGGCAGAGCAATCCAATAAACAAATAGTAGATGCTTGATGTTTGAGATATCTTTTTATTTTATTTTTCTCTTTGATACAATCTGAAATTAAATAAGATTAAAACAAAATAACAGAGTTTCAAAAATATGAATATGTATGTATCTTTGTGGATATATATACAATATACATACAAATAAATATTACTTATATAATGAGTATTTATGGTGGGTAAGTGTATATGAGAACGTATGTAGATGTATAAACCCTGCCTTACAACAACATGATTTATGAGACCTCACATCAGTAGTACTTGAAGTATCCCCTATTCCTCAACTGGCAAAAATCCACCCTCAGTATTCTACAGAAAAGGAGGAAAAATTTAGATATTCAAGTCAAGTAGTACAAGAATATTCCTTTGATGTTAAATTTCATGATATTTTCACTTCCCTGTGAATACTGAACATAATCCTGAAGATTGTATCATGCCTAGCACATGATTTTTCAGTCTTTCCTTTGCTTCATTTCTCTTGCAGAATGAGTTGGGATTTACTGTTATAAGTAAATATGCATTTCATACATTATTTTTATAAAATAAGGGAATATGTATTTCTCATATCATTTTATATACCGGTCTATGAATGCAGACCATATAACTTTAGCAGTTGAGTATGGCAGCTAGTGAATACATTTCATTTTCCCTCATCTTACAGATAATAAAAACAATGAATACATCACTATTCTTCACTGTCTTATGTAAATGCTACATGCAGTTAAAGTTATAAAGTAAAAATGAAATGTTAATGGCAGAGAAAGGAAATGGCATGGTACGAGAAGTAGAAGGGGTTTGTTTTCTGGTATGTTATGAATAAAAGATAGAATGAAGTTCTATTTTGGTCTAGCTGTGCTACTGCTTTAACTGCCCTCGGGACTGGTATACTATAGCCTATAGGCCAAAGGTGCTCCCAATATGTTGTGTAAATAAAGTTTTGTTAGACTATAGCTACACCTATCCTTTTACATGTTCTTTATGTACTTTATAGTACTTTTGTACTGTAACAGCAGTGTTGAACAATCATAGCAGAGACAGTAAGCCTTGAAACCTATAAAATATTTACTATATAACTCTTTCCATAAAAGTCCCTGATTCAGTCCCTTTTGCTTTCTAGAAAGTATAGAGCCAGTTTCCTTAGGTAGCTAAGTGGATCTAAAATAGTAGCAGCACCATCCCCATTAAAGGCAGTGATAGGCACACCTGATACCTGACTCACCTGTCTTCAAGGACATAGAAAATAGCACTCAATCCCATACGAGGTTGTCTGCATCAAGAACCCTTATGTTCTGTCCATTTTATCACTATAAAATGTATCATTGGGGCCTCTGCTTTAGCTGAACCATGTAAGCAACAAAAATGCTAATACTGCTTCATGTAACAAATATTTCTTAACAACTTCTGCTAATACTTACCAGGCACCTACAAGGTTCTAAATATTTTGTGTGGTAAAACTTTATCTCAGTTTTTAAAGCAAGTCTCAAACTCCTCATGAAAGGAAAGGAAATTGAGTATTCCTCGGTTGAGGAATTGAGATGTAGTAACTGGAACAAGGTCAGGAAGCATTTGTACTAAGACTGTCTACCTCTGAGAACCTTCTTTTCCTTAACAAAATTATGATCTCAGCTATTCGTGTTTGTGAAGACTTCATTACCAACTGATGCAACTAAGGCTACTAAAAGTGGGCCAAAGCTGCTGGTGCTACAGGTCAAGAATACTAATATTTGTGCCAGTTGTGCCAATGCCTGATGCTGAGAACATGATAGAAAACTCCACTGATGACATTGCTTCCCTTGCTCTCAGAATTGCTGCTCTTGCTCACCACACAATGAACATCACCACTGGGATGAGACAGTGGATGAGAGTAGGAGTGTTCCACTCCCTACTCTTTGTGACCACTACAAGTTTTGACAGCCCCCTATATTTTAGCGTCTGCTTGCACAGGACTCAGAGTCTAGAAGGATAGAGATGTTGTGAATCTGAATAGCAAATTTCTCTTTCCTTCTGCTGAACAATGACATCATAAAACTAAATTTCATCCTTTTCTTCCATTCTCAGTATGATACAGTGCTATAAAATAATGCCAGCAACTCTCTTTATCTTCAAGCACCTTCAAGATTTATCCATGCTTAGTTGTATCTTAGCATGAGGACATAGTAAACTTGACACTTGTGCCTTACACTATGAAATTTAAACATCTTCCTGAATTCTTTTAGCCACAGTTTGTTGCATAATGCTGTTGATGTCCTCGTAGATAGACTACATAGAAATCTAATAGGGAAAGGGGCAGAGTATTATATTCTTTCAGAAAGAACTATTACATCATCACAGTCTTGGTGGCAAGGGCTGTGTCTTCATGAGCTCACAGGTATGTGTATTGCAACATGGGCATGTGTAGTGAACCACAGTTGTATTAATCACTTGCAACTGGGACAAAATACCCAACACCCACAACTTTTATAAAATAAGGATTATTGGTCTCACAGTTTCCAGTGGATTCAGTACAAAGTAGGCTAGCTCCAAGGCAGTAATAACACGGCAGAAAGCCAGGGCAGAATTGTCGATGTCCGCTCCCGGCCGGCAGGAAAGACACACGACAAGGTCTAGCGGTGGTCAGGCTTTTCTTTATTCTCTCCTTATACAGTCTGCCCCGAAGCCTCTACCGGTCCGCTCTCCGCGGCTCCTTCCGTGCTTCAGTCTGCCCCGAAGCCTCTACCGGTCAGCTCCCCGCGGCTCCTTTTGTGCTTCAGTCTCTCTCTCTCTCTCTCGGGGGTGGAGGCACTGGCTATATATAGGATTAATAGCTAGGCAGACTACCCTGTGAGGCGGGAACTTAGTGGGGTGATAAGAAACAGGTGCCACACAGGCGGGCTCGATGAGAGGGGTAATCTAGCCCAGGCTTTTGTACTTTCCCACAGGCCTCGCAATCACCGCGTCTGATGACTTGACAGTGCCACGGCTCCCAACATCTCCCCCTATTTTATTTTAAATGATGGCTACGCGCATCGCAGCCCGTCCTGGATAGAGTGCAGAGGCCTATGCCCCGAACTGAGGCCCACCTTAGGCCCTTAGCGTTGACCCTGGTCGGCCGTCCCAGGGTCCACCAAGGCCCTGAGGCCCTCGTCCTTTTTTCTAGGGCCAGGAATGAACCGGACGGAACCTGGTTGCACATAGGCATGCACTCATTTCTCTCCACGAATCCCCTCGGAGAGAAATTTATCTAACAATCCAGCGGCTTTCGAGCGGAACGGGGTAGGGCCTGGCTTAGGTTGAGTCGTGCTGGGGAGGCACGCTCTTACCCGTCATTGACTCACCCACCCTGCTACATGTTGTTGTCTAGGGAGGAGAATGTGGGAAGCCTGTCACTTTTAAACGCGGTCGTAGGCCATGCGAGCGAGCCATGCGTATACAAGGGTAGCACATAGGGGAGCAAGCCGTTCCAGGCCCCCAAAAAGGGATTGTCCTGCAGTTCTTTTAGGGCTCATCTTGTTGTTGGGTCTGCGGTTGGCCTCTGGTGGAACAGGCCTGATCTTCAGTCGAGGGACTTGTCACGTCAACCTCTCTGGGACCCACATTGGTTCTCGTCCCGATTCCTGCGGAAAGACACAAACCGCGCCTCGGCTTCCTCTTTTGTATCTCTGCCCTCCTTGACGGACCCTTCTCGGTCGGGAGCTTCCTGACTGTGCCTGTTCAAACACCTCGCGTACTTCTACAAGTTCTTGAGAGCTCCCCCCGTAACTACCCTCACTCTTTAGGCACGTGTGTATCATTTCCCACAATGGACGAGCAGAGACTGAAGCTCTACCCTCCCACTCTGCTAGGGAAAGGTCTCTGCCCAACTTTTCCCAGGAGGGCAGGTTTACATGCCCTGTAGGCAGAAACCAGGGAGCAAAGCTGTCAATCTCTGCAAGGAAATTTTCTAAAGTCTTACGCCCCACCTTGAGGTCCTTGGACTTTAGGAGTCTCCGAAGGACCAACACCAAGGCTGTGTATCTTTACTTGGCATGTTTCCCATTTTTAATATATCTTCTGTTATTTTTACTTCTATGTTTATGTTTTACACTCTTTTATTACCTTAAGTTCTGGTGTTATGTTTCATACTCACCGCGTGAGGCCCAAGAAACCCGCCACTTACGCGTGAGGTTGAGAGGAGTCTACAAACCCTGTAGGTGCGCGCCACCCAGGGCCCAGGCTTATCCTCTACTCACCTGTCCTGCAGCTGCAGCACTGTGTAGGAGAATGCAGTCCACCGCCGCGTCTCGGGGTTGATCAATCCCCGGGCGGGCCTCCAAATGTCGATGTCCGCTCCCGGCCGGCAGGAAAGACACACGACAAGGTCTAGCGGTGGTCAGGCTTTTCTTTATTCTCTCCTTATACAGTCTGCCCCAAAGCCTCTACCGGTCCGCTCTCCGCGGCTCCTTCCGTGCTTCAGTCTGCCCCGAAGCCTCTACCGGTCCGCTCCCCGCGGCTCCTTTTGTGCTTCAGTCTCTCTCTCTCTCTCTCGGGGGTGGAGGCACTGGCTATATATAGGATTAATAGCTAGGCAGACTACCCTGTGAGGCGGGAACTTAGTGGGGTGATAAGAAACAGGTGCCACACAGGCGGGCTCGATGAGAGGGGTAATCTAGCCCAGGCTTTTGTACTTTCCCACAGGCCTCGCAATCACCGCGTCTGATGACTTGACAGTGCCACGGCTCCCAACACAGAATACAGCTACTTATGGCAGCCAGGATCAACAGAAAAAGTAGAAGAGTCAGGGACAAGAATATACCCAGTGACTCACTTCTAATAAACCCTATGTCTTAACCCATTCATCAGTGGGTATAGCTGATGGATATAGCTTCTTCACAATCTAATTAACTTCCAAACACGTGATATTTGAAGAAAAATTTTAGATCTAAATCATAAAGTACAACTCCTGACACTCAAAACACTCATGCTCTTCTCTTCACACAAAATACACTTATTACATCTTTAAGAGTCACCAAATTCAAAATAGCTCCAGCACTGCTGAAATGTCTAAGTCTCAAGTTTCCTCTGAGAACCAAAGCAAACTGTTAGCTGTGAGCCCTGTATAAAAAAAAAAAAAACAGAAATTTAAGTATTTCTAGCATACATACAATGGCACAGAGTAAATACTACCCTTCCAAAATGGAGGAATGGAGTTGACTATAGGAATAGGTCTAAAGCAAAAAAAAATCATATCAAACATTATATTTTTTAGTTCTATGTTTACCACCCAGGACAAGCTGTGGAGTTATGTGAACTATGAAGGGTTTGGGAAGCCTTGCTTTCACAGCATTGCCTGTCACACCCTTCATGGCCTCTCTCTGGATTGCTTCATGCACAGCCTGTCTTTCTTCAGCAGATATTCCATATCCCAGGAATTTCAAAGGTCTCCGCTGCACCCTAAGCTTCACTCTAAGTTTCACTGCCTTTTGAGGGGCACTGCAAAATCTGAGTGGAAGCTTCCATGAACCCATAATACTTACACTCCTTAAGCCTGTAAAATCAGCACCAAATGGACAACACCAAGGTTTACAACCAGCTTGAGCAGTGACTGAGCCCCTTTGGACCATGGCTGCAGTGGCCTATGTGTCATTGATAACTAGGTATGTTCAAATGAACCCTAGAAAACACAATTCCTTATGTAGCTCTTCTCAAGCAGGATGCCCAAGGGCTCTCTTCTCAAATAAAAGGTTTACACTTCTGCACCTCTGCACCTGTAATAGGTGGTGGCTTCCTAATTGGTGAGACTGCCTTTAAGACATGTTTTCTGCTGCCCCACTGCAAAGTGCTTCACTGCTTAGCGCTATTTTTTCAGCAATCCCAATGTCCATGGACACAACTTTGTAGATGCTTTCTTTTCAGCAAAAATGGAAGCATTTTTATTATTGGTTCTGCCTTTTGCTCTTGATTCCCACTGCATATTTGGCTAACAATACTCATGCCACAGCCTAAACATCAGGATGCTTTGAAATTTCCTCTGCCAGACTAATTAGTACACTGTTCTTAACCTCAGTCTCCCATAAAGTCTCACAACATAAGAAAATGCATAGTCTCTGGAGACGACTTCACGGGACCTGGGAACTCCAGCCAGGCTAGACCCAGGCCCCTCCTGTGACCCTCACCTGGCGGCAGACCACCTCGGGGAAACAATGGTGCACATGGGGCTGGACCAGAACTGGGCCCTCCCATGTTCTTGCAGTCCTGGATACCCATCTCAGGACCTAGGAACTCTAGCCTATGTTGTGCACTTCTGCAGTCCCACTGCTGCCATTTGGGACTGCCCACCTCCTGGACCTAGCATGGCCGTTGATCTTCAGCTCCTACACCTCCCCCCCAGAAACATGGACTACAGTGGATTAACCATGCAGTATCGAAGGGAGACTCAATAAGAAGAACTCAGCAGGCTTCCATCAGTGAGGCGAGTTTGCCCCTGAAATAGGAACAGAGTTTGTCACCTTCAGTGAGTAAACAGAAACAATAGCAAAGCCCCCTCCAGAAGTAGGCCATCAGCGAGCTTGGCAAGTGGGTGGGTGAGTCCTTCCTCCACACAGAGAATATCAGGTAGGTTGAGGAGGGTGCCAATAAGGCCTCTCCCAACCTGGGGAAAATTAAGGGGACCTATAGGATACCCAGAGACATAGTAGAGTCCCAGCTAAGACAAACACTATAAACAGGGAGATCTGGTGACGCTGAACAACCTGAAGACATAATAACAGCAGGAACTAGGGGTTGATTTCCATCAGTACTCCTAGGCTTGTCAGCCTAGGAAGAACATAGATAGGACTCATCCAACAGGCCTTGCAGGGGAAATTCAGGTGACTGGGAACCAGCAATTGAACAAAATTCAACCTTACAGTAGGACCCCAAGATATATACTAGCAATAGTTGACACTAGTATGATAGAAGGACCAAATATTAACCTGAAAGGGGAAAATGGTAAAATGAAAAAGCAAAATGCAATCTCAAACATGTAGTCCACCAGGAGCAAGTAGAGGAGACATTGAAATAGAGGGCTTCAAAAGTGACACACCAGAAATCTCTGAAAAGACAGCAATTGATATAAAAAAAATTCCATGAGGCTATAGAGAAAGTCAAATTAGAAGTAATCTGTCATTTAAAAACAGAAATAACATCCTTAGTAAAGGAGTTGCTCAGTGCAGCTAGAGAAGAAATAGACAGAAAGTACAGGAGCATGGGAAACTGATTGAAACCTTGAATGAAAAATATAGAAAACAAGCAGAATTCATGAGCAAACTCAAAGAGACACCCAAGAAACAAAAAATCCTATTGAAATCTGGCAAAACCTTTAAATGAAGCTGAGGATAGAATTTTGGACCTTGAGGACAGGATCGCAATTAGTGATCATAAAAGGATGGGACTTACAAAAATAACAAAGCAATATGAAATTACAATCCAGCAAATTCCAGATGATGCCAAGAGACAAGACTAATAGTCATCAGTGAAGATGCAGGAATCAATGGAAATGACATAACTAAAATATTCACAGAAGTAATAGAAAATTTCCCAAACCTGGGGAAAAAATCTGATATGCAGATAAATGAGGCATATAGAACACCAAACAGTCACAACCAACATAAATCTACACTCAGACATATAATAATTAAGATCCCAGCCATGCATCATAAAAACAGGATACTAAAAGCTGTTAGAGAAAAGACACAACTCACTTATCAAGGAAAGCCTATTATAATCACAGCAGACTTTTCACCACAAACCTTCAGATTAAGACAAGCTTGGAATGAGGTATTTCAAGCCCTGAAAGAAAACAACTTTCAACTCATGCTGATGTACCCAGAAAAACATTCATTCAAATTTAATGGAGAAACAAGATACTTCCATGACAAAGAATAATTGAAGAAATTCACATACACCAAACCAATCCTAGAAAGAGTGTTGAAAGGCATACTAGATGGAGATAAAAATGACACAATTCTCAGAACAACAGAAAGAAACTACCAGGTAGCACAAGCAATTAAACAAGGGGGAAAAACAGAAAGCAAACAACTAGAACATAACATGGCAACATTAACCAGTACATATCAATTATATCCACAAATGTAAATGGACTCAATTCACTAACAAAAGAAATAAGTTGACAGAATGAATCAAAAAGCATGATCCCACATTATGCTATATACAAGAAACACATTTGACCCAAAGGTAACTCATAGATCAAATGTCAAAGGGTGGAAAACAGTATTACAGGCAACAGGAACCCAGAAAAAAGCAGGGGGGTAACTATTCTATTTGCAGACCACATGAACTTCAAACCTAAAATGATTAAAGAGATAAAGAGGTCACTACATAATCGTTAGTGGAAAAATTCAAGAGGAAGAGCTAACAGTTATAAATATATATGCACCAAATACAGGAGCACCCAATTATATAAGGCAAATAATAATGGACATGAAAAACCGAATACACAAGAACACAATTATAACAAGGGACCTTAATACCCCATTGTCACAAAGAGATAGATCAACTAGACAAAAAGTCAGTAAAGAAAAAATAGAACTGCACCATACCTGTGAGCAACTGGACTTAGTAGATGTTTAAGGAGTGTTCCACCCAGCAACATCAGAATACACATTCTTCTCAGCTGCACATGGGGCATTCTCCAAAATAGACCATGTATTATCCCATAAAACATTCTTAAGTAACTGTAAAGGTATTGAAATTATCGCATGCATAATATCTGACTATAGCGCAATGAAATTGGAAATTAATGGCAAATGAAATTGCAAACCCTGCATAAATACATGGAAATTAAATAACAAACTTCTGAACAACCAGTGGGTTACAGATGAAATTAAAGAAAAAATAAAGCAATACCTACAAATCAATGAAAATGTTGAACCAATATACTGTAATCTGTGGCATGCAATGAAAGCGGTCTTAAAAGGGAAATTTATAGCAATAAATTGTCATATCAAGAAAACAAAACAAGCACAAATAAACAACCTAATGCTTCATCTCAAGCTTCTAGAAAAAGGAAGAGCAAGTTAAACCCAGAGCTCATTGAAAAGAGGAAATTGTAAAGATTAGAGCAAAAATTAATGCAATTGAAACTAAAAAAATACAAAGAATTAATGGATCAAAAAGCTGGTTTTTTGAGAGAATAAACAAAATTGACAAACCTCTAGCTAACCTTATTAAGAAAAAGAAAGAACAAACCCAAATTCACACAATAAGGACTGAAAAGGGGGAAATTACTACAGATCCCATGGTAATTCAAAAGATCATGAATACCTACTTTGAAAATCTCTACTCATATAATCTCTACTCATATAAAACACAGAGGAAATGGATAGATTTCTAGAAACACATGAACTTCCAAACATCAACCAAAAAGATATAACAATTTTGAATAACCCAATAAAAGATATTGAAATTGAAAACATAATTAAAAGCTTACCCACAAAAAAACCCCCAGATCCTGATGGGTTTACAGCTGAATTCTACAAGAAATTTAGAGAAGATTTGATGCCAGTACTCCTTAAAATCTTCAGTGAAACCGAAAGAGAAGCAATTCTCCCTAAATCATTCCTGGAGGCAAGTATTACTCTGATACCAAAACCAGAGAAAGACCCAACCAAAAAGGAGAACTATAAGCCAATCTCACTAATGAACACTGATGCAAAGATTCTCAATAAAATATTGGCAAATAGAT